ATCAGACTCGTTATGCTAGCACACCCGAGGGTGGAAGCACAGACGAGCCCTCATCTCCAGCTCATCTTGTGATGCGATGTGCCCATCAGCTGAATCTATCAGAATAACGCACTCAGAAATAAACAGGCAGATCGTCTTTAGAAAGCCGTGCCGCGTGCAGGCTCTTTTTGTGAGAGAAAAGCTCGCAGCAGTGCTGAAGCCTCAGGGAGAAACACACACGCTGTTCAGTTCAGCAGGCAGGAATGTGAACCTCGCTGGAACTCGCCATCACAACAACACCGACTGGAAGCTGCTCGTCTAGAAGATTCTCGAAGATAGTCAGAGAATGCAGAAGGCTGCAGGAGTGAAGAGAACTTTATATAGTTTATATAAGTTTACATAAGAAGCATTTTGAGTTAATATAAGCTTAATCCTTACTGTTACTGACTCAGAGAAACATAGAGGTATGATGGGGTGAGAGGATAGAGACCAGAGATGGGACCAAGTCACACATGTGCAAGTCTCAAGTAAGTCTCAAGTCTTAACCTTCAAGTCTCAAGTAAGTCCCAAGTATTTTTTTCCTGGGCAAGTCAAGTCAAGTCAAGTCACAGGCTATGTCAAGTCAAGTCAAGTCAAGTCTTGTAGTAGGTCAAGTCAAGTCCAAGTCAAGTCACCTTATTATTGTAATTTTACCTGCAGAGTTTGATCTATGGGCGTCAGTTTGGTTTGAAATGAACAGAGGCGCATTCGGAAGTGCATTTGGGAACAATGACGCATTCATTCACTTTTTTCTTTCACGCAGGTCATGTTTTGAAAGATGGTGTCCTGTAGCTTACTAATTTAAAGAAATAAAAATGTATACAAAAATGTGATGTCCGACTTCTTTTATGAAGAAGAAAGCCTTAAAGGGGTCATATAATGGTACATGCACTTTTACAAGTTGATTGTACTGAAATGTGTGTTGGCAGTGCCTGTACACAACCATCATATAATGATAAAAATCCATCCAGTGGTTTTGTTTTAATCTCCTTATATGTTTTCCCCTGCCTCAAATCGAGCCGTTCGACCGTGTGACGTCACAGGCTCGGAAGCCCCTCCCACGATTGTTGAATGACAGCCGCGTTTCAACACAGACCCGCCCTCGCTCGTGAGTGAGCTGTCAATCATAGTCTGCGCGGACCGGCGCGGTCATTGTTGATATGCTGGAGCACTGTCTATGAGCAGAATGGCGTCTAAGCGATTGTGGTGTTCTGTTCTTGGGTGTAATAACGAACACAGTCATTTTAATGTTCCTAAATCCGAACCGCTGAAGACGCAGTGGCTGAGTTTGTTTTCGAAGGGAATATTCCCCACGAGCAACGTCAATGCTCTCATGTTTGCCCGAATCATTTCACACACCAGACTGCTTTATAAACGAGGGTGAGTATAAAGCTGGATTTGCTAAGTAGCTGCTCATGAAAAAAGATCGGTACCAGATATTCGTGTTCCTGCTGAATCTCCAGAAGAACTGAAGTGAGTGTATAACGTTTTATTCAACTTTATATTAATATTTATATCTTTGCAAATCGCTAGCTGCACACTTCACAATGAATGCGTCTAAGGTTTACACTCAGGGTACATTACGGCATGTTTTCTATGTATGACGTTCTCAATATAATTCATAATTCCACGTTTATACTGAACAACGCGTTATGGTTATGGTGTTATTGTGTTACAAACGGTGTACGCACAGAACATAGGGGCGGGGTGAGCAAATTATCATTTAAAGTCATATGCACTGAAACGGCGTGCTGAAAACAGAGCTGTTTTTGACCAAGTAAAATAAGTGTTTTCTTACAATACTAATGAGAATTTTTAATTAAAGTATATTACAAACTTTTAATTTAGACCCCAAAGAATCATATTAGCTTGTACAAAAATGGCATTATATGCCCCTTTTAAGTTTTCAAAAAGCATTAGACATATGACCCACTATTCTGCTTCGTGTAAGTTATTTATCAATGAATTCAAACGCGTTGGCTGGCGCTGAGCCAGAGACATACGCTCTCAGTGCTGTCATATATCACAACTGTTCAGTGTTTTCAACCACATCATTTTTATTTTAGGTTTCAGACATTTAAATACACATAACTACTAGCAAAAAATATATTTGTAGTTTGTAAAATATACACTGATGTCTATGGAAGCGTCAATAATAATCATTTCCATTATAATAAGACGCACGTTTTATTCATATCAGATACACATTGTGTAAGTAGCTTTACATTTTACCCTATTCTTCTCCCAGTTCACCGGTCACTTACTTTCATGTATTTCGTGAGAAGTTGAGAAATTGACGTGTTGTAAACTAACGTTAACATGGCACCGCCCATTCGCACATACAGCTCAACTAACGCGATCATTATAAAGGTGTTTAAACAACAAAACACATCCACTTACACATATTTGACAATCGGAATATCAGTGTTGCATGTTATAGCTAATACATTTGTGAACATTTTTAATAAAACAGGAAAAATTACATAAAAGCAGATCATTCATTCAGCGCTGTGTTGTGGTTGCGCTGTGTCACTTGACAAGCAATGACGCGTCACCATGAAACATTAAAGTGAGTGACAGGTTCTAAATAACGGTCGCCTAGAAAAACTCACGCTGGGGGATCAGTTAGAATAGTTTAAACTTACTTGTGAAAGGGTTAATGGCTACTTTAGCTATTACATTAGCTAACTACCAACTAACATTAACAAATTGACAAGCACTTACTGGGCAGAATGGCTCTTCAAATGACGGACGAAATTGGAGGTTGTCGTCTGGCTGTCCGCAATGTTAATGTTGTAGCCTATGTCTTGCAAAGCGCTGTTCGTCTTTTGCCATCGTGTGAATAATTCTTGAAGCCGAAAGCAATGACCCTCGGTACCCCTCCGGCTGACATTTTGATGTGATATCTGATCTAAGTGGGCGTGGTGTGCGTATAGGTACGAGGTATGACTGATGATAGTGTCGTGATCAACTTTAAAACATTTTTTTATATATATTTTATATTCAAACTGAAAACATGATGTGATTAACACTCAAGTCATTCAAGTCATCGTGTCTCAAGTCAAGTCAAGTCCCGAGTCTTTAACTTCCAAGTCCGAGTCAAGTCTCAAGTATTTCATTTTATGTCAAGTCAAGTCACAAGTCATAAAAATAGCGACTCGAGTCGACTCGAGTCCAAGTCACCAAGTCACAAGTCCCCATGTCTGATAGAGACACATAAAGGACAATAGAAGTGGGGAACAGAGAAATCTGGAATGAAGACCTCTCATGTAGCCTTATTCTAATATGCCTGTTTCTCTCTGTCTGACACATGATAAATAATAAATCGAGATCTCTTGGCAAAGTAACTGCTGTAGCTTCCGTGATTCAACACTATGGGGAAAGCATGATTTTTAAATCTACACCTTCCTAACTTAAAACGCTGATAATGAGACTGCCACCAGTAGCTCTTGCCTCCTGGACATAAACACTGCACGCCAGAAAAGATGTCACTTCCAGGACCCAGAATGACACGCTTAATATCCGCTGAACGTACCGTATCCCAATCACTATAATGGCTGATCGCATCACCACAACTGTAAAGCTGCTTTGAAACAGTCTATATTGGTAAAAGCGCTATATAAATGAAGCTGACTTGACTTGACGCCTGAATCAACTAATCAAGGTCTTTGAGTTTTCTTGAATATCTCAGTCAGTTGTGTGTATGAGGAACCCGGCTTTATGTAAAATCATTGAAATAAAAATATTAGCAACACTGAACCAATCAAATTAGCAGTGAAATTGTAAATGGTTTTCAGCAACTATAGCAAACATTTCTTGGACAGGAAAAAGTTGAGCAATTCAGTTGTAGAAAGAAGAGGAACTGTTTTCTGAATGTGTGAGAGTTCACATCCGTCCGCCTAAACTGGGTTCAGAGATGATGTTGTGTGTGTGTGTGTGTGTTTAACAGTGCGGTCAAACTAGCCGAGTTCTCAACGCCAGCGATGACACGCTTCTGAAACACCATTACTGTGGACAGCAGGTTCGGTCCGACTACGGCATGATTGGTATCTTTGTTCTCGGTGTGACTCAAGAAATCTATCAAGACCAGTTTCATTACAAAAGGAAATATTTAAAGATATTATTATTTTTTAAATTTCATTATATATTTTTGAGCACAAGGAAGAAGCATCTTGAGTGTCTTCAGAACATGGTGCCGATGACACACACTGACTTTCATAATGACACACACAACCGCCTCTTAAAGCGTCTCTGAAGTGCTTTAAACAGCTCAGCCTGTGTCACAGGGAAAGGGAGAATCACTGGCGTTTGGTGTTTGTAGTGTTAATAAAGGAGTCTGGATCTGATCTATTTCTCAGGGCTGGAGAGAGTAAAGCAGAACATTATAATCCATGTGTAGAAACTCTCCCTGAAGACATTTAATATCTGCTTTACAGACGCTCATCAAGTGTGTGCAAATACTTTCTGTTTCACCAAACTGGAGCTGATATTCATCATTTTGAAATACCATAAAAACTGTTTTAGAATTCATTTTCGACAAGTTAGTCATGGATATTTGGAAACATGTTTAGTAACAAACCAATTGTATCACTAATAATGTAATAATTAATTTTTCTAGATTTTAGCGTCATGAAATAAACTGCTAAAAGAAAGAAGTGAGAGTAACAGTAATTCTCTCGTGTGAAAAAGTAGCCACTAAACTGTTCAGATCAGATGTGTGTTGAGCCAGTGCCGTTAACAGTGTATGCACTTCTCACACATTTCACACACACACACACACACACACACACACACACACACACACACACACACACACACACACACACACACACACACACACACACACACACGTAGAGCAACACTTGTTGATGATGTTTAAAGGAGGAGCTGTAACTATATATAATGAAGAAGGTGTTCGTGAGACATAGCTCTTGTTGAGCAAAGAAGTTAAGCAGGAGGTCTCCGTTGGTGTTCTTCAGAAACAGAAATGGCTGATAAGTGTGATCTGTGTCTGCTGGGACTGATCGTTCTCTCTTCACTTCTCACAGGTAAAGAAATCTGTATTTTCTCTAAACACATTTAGTGGAATTAGTCTGGAAAGAGTTCATTTGAACATGCTCAGTTTATTCTTACACACATTCACGCTGTGATCTCAGAGTTGTGTGTTGATACGTGTAACCGGTGGCTCGTGACACCAGCCTTTGAGTAAATCGCCCTTAAATTGTTCTATAAAACAAATGTGATGTACATTTAATCACCATGTGCTTTCATCTCCACATATATATAGACCAAAGTCAAAAATATAACTTAAATAGGGAAAAATGATAAAAATAACCACACAGATAAGTAAAATAACATAATACACATATTGCAGTGAAGATTTAGACACAAAAGCAACAATTAAAATAAAGATTAATTAAGATTGACAGGAGCCAAAAATAACTCACCTCTTCAGTGCATTAACAATTAACAGGAAGAGGAAGAGACAAAACAGCAATTGTTACCATTAAATACTGAGAGAGTGAATAAGACCACTGAGAAACAGCAGGAGAACAGGGGAACAAATGTATTATGTGCAATGATCCGCCAATATGTATATAAGAAAGAAGAAAAATGAAGCAACAAATTATTATTTACAATCAAAAACAAAAGAAGTTACAAAAATCCAGCAAACTTATAATATACCGGATCTGGGGAGGAAAGAGGGAAAACTGGACGGTGCCAACACAAAGAAAAGAATAAAACAAAAGGATCTTTCTCACCCGTTTCAACTAACCCTACCTAATACAAAAGAAAAATGTAGAAAGAAAAGTCTTCAACATCCGAGACGTCATACACTTCCCTACTCTATCTATCAAAAGAAAAACGACAGTGAATGACCTATAAATGCTCCTATAAACCTAGTGTGTGTAAACTAAATACACCAGAACTAAGTGTGTCCGATGTACGTCACGTGACATAACTTACCTCTCCTTTCCCTCTATCCAGCGTTACCGCTCTCAAATACTCAATAATAAAGGAAAGTAAAGTAATTTGGTTTCACATGATAATCTTAACACACTAACAAAGCTTATAAGTAATAACCAAAAGTAGAAATAAATTAAACCGGAACAGGTATTGTTTTTCAAGGTTATAACTCTGTACTAATAAAGCCCAACGCATCAGCCGTTGATTAGCATTATACATACGGGAAAGTAAAACAAGGGAGTTGTGATCGCTATAGACAATAGTGGGCCGGATGGAAGAGCCTAAGGAAACTTCACAGAACTGCAAGAAAAACAACAACGCCAAAGTTTCCTTTTCAACTGTCGAGTAATTCCCTTGATGTTTATCAGACTTACGGGAGAAAAAGCACTGATGGTCCACATCCTCGCCGTCTAGAAGCAAAACTGCTCCAGTAACTCCATGTATCCGCGCTCGCATCAACTTACAACTCAAAGAGCGATCGAACTCAGAGCAGCCGAAACTGGGGCTTTACAACAGAGCTTTAACACTCTCAGATGCAGTCGAGAGCAACAGTGAGGAAAATATCATGATTTAACTTCTGTTTTTATCATAATGATGACTGAGATATACTGTGTTTCAGGCACCAGTGGAGTGATTGTGTTCATCAGTTCTGGTGTAAATGTCTCTCTGTCCTGTAATAATGCTCTTTCTGACCGCAAATCAATATCATGGATCTACTATAACAGCTTCAGAGATTCAGGAGAAGTTGCACTGATTACTGGAGGGATAAAGAATAAAGACACAGAGAGACATGAGAGACTGAGTCTGGAGTCTGACTGCTCTCTGAACATCAAGAACGTCACAGAAGAAGATTATGGATATTACAGATGCAGACAATATGTGAATGGAGAACAACAAGGAACTGGTGCTTATGTTTTTCTGCATGTTCTTCATGGTAAGTTTATGATTACGTGGTCAATTTAAAAAGGGCAGATTCTCCCTTTAAACTCAGATGATGATTGAAGAGTCTGTGATTTGTGTTCAGTTTCAGTGTCTTCATCATCATCATCATCATCATCATCATCATCTTCATCTTCATCTTCATCCTCACAGACTGAGATCAGTCCAGGCCGCTCTGTGACTCTCTCCTGTCAGTTGTATTCATATGGATACTCCTGTGATGATTGGATCCGTTATGTGGGAGTTGAGCTGTTGTGGGTGAATCAGGCTGGTGTTGATCTGAAGACAGACTCCAGATATCAGATATTATCATCATTATCATCATCATCATCATCATCATCTCCAGATCACTGTATCCTCACTCTGACTACAACACTCCTGAATGAAGATGCCAACAGAGAGTGGAGATGTCAGCTTACTCACAGAAAGCAACTCCAGACCTCAGTCAGATACACTGTCAAGTATTCAGGTGAGAAAACAGTGTTAGAAGAGCCTCATAATGTCAGGAACACTGAGGTCTATCAGTATCACTGAACCAGAACAAACTGAGGGAACAAAAGCTTCTCTGACTCTCACAGAAGAGGAACTCAAAGCATTGCTTCAAACTAATGAACTGCAGTGAAGTAACAGTCCAACTGTTCACTCTTTATGTGATGTGATGATCAAAGTTAGAATATGATGGTCATATTGTACAGTATTAATCATCTGAACTAACATTGATCTTCACAGCTCAAGCTGATTCAACGACAGCAGTGAATCCAGTCCACATCACACACTCTCAGGATCCCTCAACTATAAACACACACGTTTCTAAAGGTACATCATCACTGTCTTTCTCACATCAGTGCTTTTCAGTGCGTAATGCTAGAGTTATCTTCAGTGTTCACTCATCAACATATGACGGTCATATTCTACAGGATGATTGTCACATTGAGTTGTTGTTTTAGTTTCATTTCATGGACCTTTATGGTGTGTGTAATTAGCGCACTTATGCATATTCTATGACATGTTCAGTATAAACAGTGAGAGTCGTGTGTTAAGTCAAGTCATCCTCATTTATATAGCGCTTTTAACAATGTAGATTGCCTCAAAGCAGTCCAATATGCAGCTGATTATAAATTATAAATTTGTTTTACAAACCATTATAAAGGCCTGTATGCATGGTTGGGCTGTTGGAGAAAATATATGTAAAAAGTATCAAAATAAGTCCAACTATATAGAGTTGTCTGGTGTGATATGCTTCATGCCGCAATGCATGCTGGGAACCATGAGTTTTATACTATGGCTGGCTCCCAGCAACAGCGGTGAACAGGTGTGTTTCTGTCTTACTTTATCTAATTAACCTTATTGAGGTTTTCTTTTGCAAAATGTTTATTACATCTAGACAAAAATCCATATTACCGCTAGTAGCACTTCACTCTCTCTAGGGGAATCTAAGCTGAAAGCTCTATCATATGTTGCTTTAAAAAAAAAAAATCCACATAAGACGCGTGTGAAATTACTAAATTAGTGATTATGTACACTGAACGAATCTATTTCTTTCGTTCTCCATAAATTAATGAGAACATTTAATTTAATTGAAATAATAAAAATCTGTCCAAAATAATAATTTGGGCAATACGTCACAGGGAAGTTAAGAAACAATTGTATATTGTTTGTTTTGTTCATTCATTATTTTATTACATTAACAGTTACGCTGACTGAATTCCAACTAAATTAATGAATAAGTGGGACCCTTTCAATTAAATGAAATGTTCTCATTAATTTATGGAGAAGGAAAGAAATAGACTCAAATGAAACGTTTTTACAAAAATGTAAAAAGCAACATGATGGCAGAGCTTTCAGTTTATAGATTCCCTTATCCTAGAGTGGAGTGCTACTAAGTGATGTGGATTTCTGTCTATATAATAAACATTTACCAAAACCTCAATAAGGTAAATTATAGATAAAGTAAGACAGAAACACCCCTGTTCACCGCTCATTTTCCCATGGGCAAAGGCAAGCACGCGTTTCACATCAGTGTTTCTCCCCAGAGACTAGCGCGAAATTGATCCCCTATCTTAGCGCCATCTACTGTTCTAGAAGAGAAAGTTGCTCAACTGCATTTGTGAGAAAATCTGCCTGGACACGGAAAAATAGTGTCAAAAATTGCGTGACAGTTTTTCGTACTTGTAGAATCTTGTTTTGTACTTGTAGAATTTTGTTTTGTACTTGTAGAATTTTGTTTTGTACTTGTAGAATTTTGCTTTGTACTTGTAGAATTTTGTTTTGTACTTGTAGAATTTTGTTTTGTACTTGTAGAATTTTGTTTTGTACTTGTAGAATTTTGTTTTGTACTTGTAGAATTTTGCTTTGTACTTGTAGAATTTTGTTTTGTACTTGTAGAATTTTGCTTTGTACTTGAAGGTTTTTGTTTCGTACTTGTAAAATTTTGTTTTGTACTTAAAAGATTTTAGTTTGTACTTGGATGATATTTTTGTCATTGAAGAAATACGTTTCTATGTATATGTAAAACATACTGTATTTGTTTGATAGGTACGTTTTTTATTTGCAGAACAATATGCATTAGTTTGTGAGTGATGTTTCGTATTTACAAACCACATTGAGTTTGTTTGTGAATCATTGGGTGTGAGTAAAACACGTTTTGTGTGTGTGTGAGGTTTTGGCACATAATTCGCTCAATAGGAACAGACCACACAATCGCACATCTGTATAAAAGTGAAATCAACGCATATTGACCTCGTGCGTTTTTGTGAGAGGAGTTTGATTTTGAGATAGCGGATTTTGGTGATATAGTGACATAGTGCGATTTGATTAGTTATAGGCTATTTAGGCTTACATTTAAATTTACACAACACATTGAATCGAGCAAGGCGAGCATTTGTGCTTATAAAACTTCAACTTTTTTATTTATTTTTGAAATGACTGATCATTTCGCTAGATTAGACCCTTATTCATCGTCTGGTATCGTTTAAAGCCTTTTGAAGCTGCACTGAAACTGTCATTTGGACCTTGAACCATTTGGGTTCCATTTTAGTGCATTATATGGAGAAAAATCCTGGAATGTTTTCATAAAAAACCTTAATTTCTTTTCGACTGAAGAAAGAAAAACATGGATATCTTGGATGACATGGGGGTGAGTAAATTATCAGCAAAAGTTTTTTTTTAAAGTGAACTAATCCTTTAAATGAACAAAATGGCTTGAATAAAGATTCGTTCATTTCGAGAGAGTCAGTAAAATGATCCAAACTTCCCATCACTAATCTTCAGAGATTTAGGCCAAGTCCACACATACACGGGTATTGGACACAGTTTATCCTCCTTCGCTTAAAAAAAAAAAAATCGCCCACATGAAAACGCAAAAACACGCTATGAAGCGCTGTCAAGAGCATGCCAAACCAACAGGTGGCGATATAACCCTAACCCTAAAGCCCTGTTGGCCAATCAGAAGCCTGGAAAAAAGGTTATTACCGGTTCCAGTTCCGACGTCACAAGCCAGAATCTACGGTTTCACCGTCTACACGACCGGAGTTTCTGAAAATCTTCACCCTGGCAGGAGTTTCAAAAAGGTTCGGTTTCAGTGACTGGATGCTGCGTTTGCGTGTGGACGGACGGCATAGAAAAATCTGCAGTTTTGAAAATACACGTGTTCGTGTGAACAGGGCCTTAATGTCTTCTTTTATCTTCAGTTGATTTCATCTAAAGCTGTGGCTGAAGTCAGTTGTGGTTCTTGTGTTTTCTCGGTTCTTCAGTGATTCTGCTTGTTAACAGCAGGTGTTCATCACTAATGCTCAATCATCACTTAATTAATCCCTTAATTATCTCATTAACTTCTCATAACTCTCATTAAGCCGGGTGCACACTGTGTGATTTATAGTAGTCCTTGAAGATTGTTGCTTGTCAGACTGTATGAACATGATCCTCACTGTAAGCCACGTCACACTGTAAGATCTCAGTTGTCATTAATGTCAGACTGTACGACAGTCGGGACGTGTTAAAAACGGATGCACGCACGGAAAGTCGTCTGGAGTTTTACATCATCAATGAATGACTGTTCGGTGACCGTGAGCTGCATTACACGCGGGATTGAAATTGGGCGCTTCAAAGAAATCTCTAACGTTAATTTTTGGTCACGGCGTGCTTGAAAAACGAAGACAATTTGATGGTCGTCGTGGCAGAAGTCACTGCAGGACTGAGAGTCAAATCTTCTGACACTGACAGAATTTCGTCTGAGGTTAAATCTGATCGCAATGGTCATGAATCGGCTGTCGGTGAGCATGTCAAACTAACGATCAAAGACTTCAGATTTTAGCCTAGAATCTTTAGGGATTTGCGAAATTAGTCTCAGACGGCCAAATTGTGGCCAAGATTACAGTGTGAACCCGGCTTAACTTTGACACTCTTTAAAGTGGGACCATATGCACTCTGACCAGAGTTAAAGGTGCAGTGTGTAACATTTTTGAGTATTTATTAACAGAAATGCAATATGACATCCATAACTATGTGTTCAGTGGTGTATAAAGAACTTACTTAATAAACCGTAATGTTTTTATTACCTTAGAATGAGGCATTTATATCTACATAGGCGCGGGAATCCCCTTCTATGAAGGTCGCCATATTGTGACGTCATGTTTCTACAGTAGCCGAACGCGAACAAACAGCGTTACAGAGCGCGTTTCGTCACTACCTTGAAAGAGAAGCCGCAGGAAGCTAGTCATAAACACCGCGAGTAGTGACTTTTCCCTTGTCAGTGGTGTAAATATGTAGTTGGATTGTTTCATGTAACTTAGTTCTTCTCTCTCGCTGTGTTATGGCTTTGCTATGCGGGGATAAATGTGCTGGTTACGTTTGTGAGACAGCTGATTAGTAGGCTACTCTTGTCATTGACCGTAAAACAGTTACAGGAATCACCAACCCGTCGATCTTGGAAGCATTTTAACTCGATCGAGTTTCCAAAATCAGAGAAAAAAAGCCTATTGTGTGTAGTAAGTGTGTCTAGGGATGCGGAGGCGCGCGCGCTGTTACAATCACGTCATTTCTGCCGCACGCACCTTTGCGCTCATGCGGACGCGTCGAGTTTAAACAAGGCACTTTAACCAGCTCAGCCACAGTAACTGCTCATATTAGCCAGCTAAACTTTTACTACCCTGTTAGAAAAATATATAGTTGCATAGTTTCATGTGGTTCTTCTCCGTCGCTGTATTATGGGTTTGCCATGTGGGGAGAATGTGCTGGTTATGTTCGTGAGACAATCAGCTGATTACTATTATTATATTATGTATTAAGACCCTTGATCCTCACCTGACTATGGCTTTGTAAACTTTATCCATGATGTAGTTTATAATGGACTGTGGTACAGAAACGTCTCGGTTACGGATGTAACCCTCGTTCCCTGAGTAGGGAACGGAGACGTTACGTCGGATGACGGAGAATGGGGGTTTCGCCAGAAAGCCTATCATCTTCGAGTATTAAAAAACGAGCCTATGGCAATGAAATGCCATGGGTCTGCGGAATTTGCATAATGTATCTCCGCCCCACCGCGTGGGTATTTAAGGAGAGACACCTGCAACAGCAGATCATGTCTTCGCTGAGGAGCCGAGACTGAACTCAGGCGTCTACCCAGCGGTACAGCAGAAGTGGCAGAACGAGGGTTACATCCGTAACCGAGACGTTCCCTTTCGTAGTCACTCCGAGTTACGACGGATGACGGAGAATGGGGGTCCCTGTGTAATCACGCCACCTTCACAGCTGTCTTCCAGTGCCCTGCGAAGTCTGACCTCCCTGTCGTGATATAGGCACGGACGAAGGAGTCCTAC